TTCTAGACAGTGCGAGATAGTACAGACTATGCATGTATAATTCCATAATCCGCGAGCGGACAGTTTGGTTGCATGTTTTATTATGTCTGTGGGCAAGCCCAAGTTTCAGTTTAAGTTTTTATCTGCCACATCCCGCAATAAGTCAGTATTTTCGAAAACCCAGCTCGCACGTTCTTTCGAAAATAAAAACAAAAATTTTACTCTGATTTTCAAAGCTAGTAGTAAGGCGGGGTGTGACAGTCCGCCATCTGCAAAATGGGAAAAAAATAAATTACCGTTAACCGGCTTATCTTCCAAATCGTAATTATTGCTTTGCACCGTGTATTAATGTATATTAATCTAGGTGTGTGTAAAGAAAGTGAATTTTTCAAAAAAATAAAAATAAGTGGTATGAAAATCTTTTGAAAATCTATTGCATTTAAAAATGTCTGATGGATCATGACATTAATTGTCAAAATTTTTCGTTAGTTTCGAGGTGTAATCATCTATTTCTCGGTCATCGTTTAAAAAAAAATCGTCAACTTATGAACATTATTATTTCGATTTTCTTTAAAAACAATGCTGATTTGTTTGCTCGAATTTAAAAATAATTTGAATATTTCTTAAAATATTACAATTTTTTTTCTTAATCAATATTAAATTTGAATAATATAATATGGTTACTTGTTTCTTCGGAATTTAAAATTAATGTCGTGTAAGAATGATTGGTTGATATATATTTAATAATTTTGATAATATTAAGGATAGTGTCAGCATAATTTATGTCAGTGATCCATGTTTGTACAGGTGTATTTCACATCAATCTTTACTTTACTACAAACAACATCTACCTACAATGGTCCATGGATTGCTCCTTTTTATTGCCATATGGCATTATTAATCTTATGTGGCATTCAAAATGTCTAGAAGTCTTTCTATGTTTAGAATTACTTATAGACATCCTCTATTAAATTTTTTATTATTTATTAAATATATATGTCATTCCCAACCAATTATAATATTACACATGTCAAAATATACTAAAATTGACATTCACCATTGGAGACAAAATTTTGTAAATCTCCTTCTCCATGTTATTACACGTCTATGGTCTGGCACACCTTAATAGGTGTCAAAATTGAATAAAATAAAATAAAATGGAATCCGAAAATATTTGCTATCCTGAAATACATGGGCTTATTTTATGGTAAAAAATGAATTAAAAAAAATATTTAATAGATTAATATTTTAATTATCACTATTTATTTAGCGGCTATCTTGAAAATCAGTGACTCAAGTAAAGTGATAATATTTAAAATATCATGATATTTTTTAATTAATTATTTAATGACAAAGTTCAAGTATTTTAAGTCTTAATAATTAAAATATTACTCAGCTTGATCATATTAAGAAACATATTCACCTTGTACAAAATCTGAACTGTTCATCGTGTTAAGAAACACGTTCATCTCATAATTTAACATATTCAGTTGATAATAAAACTTACTCATTTTATAACATGACATTTTAATCTTATAATTTGATATGTTCATTTTTAAATGAAACATATTCATCATGTTAAGAAACATATGACATAGAAACACATATGGTGCATCTTGTACAAGTTTAATTACTCATGGCTCTTAACAAGTTTAAACTGCTTGCATTACCTTTCTGATAATATATAACTGTAATTTGTACATCATATTTTTTTTTCAAGTAAGTTATTAAATGTAAAATGCAAGCAATAAAAATATAATGCAGCATCCGTAGATAAACATAAACAGAAAACACAACATTCATTGGGTATTTTTAAACTAAATTACATCACACTAAAAAAAAATAAATTAACCATAATCTATGTCATAAAATCGTTTTGACCATCATATTGTGGCAGATCTCCCAATTGAGGAGGGTATTTTAAGCCCCCTTGTTTATTAAAATATTTTAATTCAAACAGGTTAAGAGTAATATGTCTGAAAATAAGGGTGTCCCCTTCAAATATTTCATTATCATGAAGAAAGGTACGCCATCCTTTCTGGAATATGACATTGCCCAAATTCACACCGAGCCCTATAGTCCACTGATCCCAGTTGTCGTTGTACACACGGAGATCTGCAAACTTCATTCGCCGAATATATGCATCGGCGGCCTGGGGCAAAATCTGCATTTTGTTTTATTATTTCTTATGGTTTATTATATCTTCTAAGGCTGAAAAAAANAATGTGGATTTATTGGGGTGCAGATATTCATTAATTCCTTTGATTTCGGATGAATAAATGTGATAGATGTCTCTTCAAATCAAATTCTCATTCATTTTTCATTTTTTCTTTTTCCTTTTACCTTTTCCATCGTCCGAATTAATATTGTGCGCTTTATATGTTCACACTTTGACAATTTTTGACCTGTACGATAGTAAATTTTATTTATTTTTGGGTACGTGTAATTAATTGCAAATTTAACCTGACAATGTTATTTGTAAAATTACAAAATTATAAAGTTAATAACTTTAATATTGGATTTTAAATTACATCACTATTTCAAAAGTGGTTAATAAATATTTTTGTAAATTAAATAAGGATTTTAAATTTGTCACGACGTTGATATAATCCGACAGTTAGCCGTGTACGACTGTAGGACCCAACAAATATGAACGTCCCTAATGTACTTAACCCACTATTCAAACGTGATTCGTATTGTACAAATTCCGACGGTATCTGTGTATCCGGCTGTATTTTTCAGCTATTTGATGGATTATAATCATTATATGCTATTTAATAAAACATGATTCGTAAAGTTCAAATTTCGACTGTGTTTGTATATCGAATTACCAATTTATAGCGTTATTACTGTACTAAAGCATTAGCCAAAGTACAACGTGCTATATTTTCCAACTATTGGTTGGATATGGTAATGAAGCCTGATTCGTAAAGTTCAAATTTCGACCGTATTCGTGTATGCCTATTAGTAAAGTTCAAATATTTAATAATTTTATATGTCATGTATAGTATATACATGTATAATATAATATATAAATATTATTATATGTCACAGCTTTGCATTACTTATACTCGAAACAACAACATATAATTGGTTGTTTCTAAAAATCGGTCTTCTTTTACGATTTGAACTACGTGCGATAGAAAATGTCTCCATCTCTTCTTTATAAATTGATATTTAATTGTATGAATAATCTCAGACTAAGTACTTATTTTCAATCAATATTAAAGTAGTATAATACCCATGTATTACACGGGTGTTGAATTAGAAAACTTTTTTAAAGAATATTAAATTTTTTATTTTTTTAAAAACTAAAATAATTTAATTTTATATAAAACATTACTTTGGGTAATTCAATTGTAAAATTATATTTTTTTAATCATAATAATTAAACACCCGCATTAAATGAAAATGTCAACCCGTGTTGAATTTTCTTACTTAAATCATATAAAAATATCGATATTATTTACTATTACATAAGTACAAAACATCAAGGGTCGTATCAGTCGTGCTTCACAGTTTTTTAATTGTATATGTAATTTTAGAATTTATATAATAATTATTTATTTTTATTAAATTGAGAACATACCAATTAGATTTGAAATAAATATCATTTTTAAATAATAAACCTAATAATACTTTTACTTTTTTTTTTATGTCTTATACATACAATATGATTGAGAAAATGATATCAAGTTTTTAAACAAGGGATGGAATTTAAAAAAAAAAAACAAAAAATGATATGAAAATTAAACAGAGCTCGTTCGTGTTCGATAACAAACCTTGTTCGTGTTCGATAACAAATAGGTCGATTTAGTTTGATTTCGGAGATTTGTAGATATTCGAACCGAGCTGTTCGTGAACAAACCTCGTTTGTGTTCGATAACAACTCGTTCGTTGAGCAAACGAACCGAAGTCAATCATGAAATAATGTTCGTTTAATTATTGAACGAACACGAACAGTTACACAACTATATGTGACATATAGTACATACATGTATAGTATAATAACTATATAAATATGAATATATATTTACATATTAAATTAAATAAAAATATTTTGTAATTTTATATATTATATATAGGATATACATATGTAATATAATATATAAACATGAACATGTTCGAAAATTAGTCGAGCTCGAGTTCGAAACCTTAAGATCGATTCGGTTTGGTTTGCTAACCGCCCTAGCCAAATAAAAGTTAATATAATTACATTCTCAAATAAATAGACAAATCCTTTGATTTATTTGTTAAAAAANAACTGGGAACTAAAAACTGTCATTTTTATTAATACAGAGCTGGGCTATTACAGGACCCATTAGCCACTCATTCAATATAATTTTTTATATTCTATTCTCAATTAAAATAAATTTTAATATTTTTAAATTACAATAATAAATTTTGAATGCATGAAAATGAAAGAACATTACAAGACCAAAATAGCTTAAATTAAGATTACACAAGTAAAAAATAGTACATTTAAAAAAATATTTTTTTAGTTGGCAAAATGAGCCCAAATATAAAATTTTGTATTTTTTTTAGAAAATATAAATTATTGATACATATTGGGAAGTATGATATAGATAAAATTTGTATTTATCAAGTGTGATGTAAGTAAAAAATGAATTAATATAAAAAAGGAAAATAAAACGATTAAAGAATTAAGTTAAAATTAAAAAAAAAAATAAAAAAAATTAAAGAACAGCGTTCAATAGGATGAACACAATTGATGGCCCCGCAGCTATAATGAACGGCCACATCCCGTTGAACGCACAAGTGGCGTTTAAACACCCAAATTAACTTCAGCGATGCAGATGACGCAATCAAAATAAACAACCGCCTCTTCTCTTCCCATCATCCGAATCGTCACGTCTAATCAACTTAGGCGTCTTTCTAGAGCATCTTTACAGTCATCACAACGCCTCTTCACAATCTTCACATCATTATAAATACTCCCATTAACATAGCAAAAAAATACAATCTACATCTTCTCTCCTCTTATAAAAATACAAAAATAAAAAAAACCTTAAAAAAAAAAATGTTTTCTGCAAAGCCAAAAAACATAATGGACCACTTCCAATTGGTGAGACAGCAGATGAGCGAATATCGCTGTGATGACTTGTTGGAGGATGGATTTTGCCGCATACTCAGACGATTTGTTGTTTTCGAGGGCATAAAGGACGAGATTGACGTGTGTTTTTTTTTTTTATAATCGGATACACCGGAGTTTTGTTGAGGAGACAAGGGCCTGGTTTACGAAGGATGATAGTTATAGATTGTACTACGTGCTCAAGGAGAGGTACCGAACCTTCAAGTGGTTGTTGGAGCAACCAGGTGTAGATCACAACAGTTTTGCCGGTACTGTTCATGTACCAACTCTTGTTAAGGAAGTGGCGCTTAAGGTAAATTGTTGAAGAATTAAATCCTTGTATAATTAAGTAGTTCATGTTTTGTGTATGTTTTGCCGGTAAAATTGTTTATGTTTTGTGTATGCGAAGCATTGGGCACTTGCAGAGTACGTGGTTGATAAACCGAAACCAAAGTGGGACGTGTTGAAGGCAATTTTCGAACCCATGGGACATTTGGAGGATTACCCTGGTGAACAGAATCCGAAGATGAACAGTGACTTCCCAGAACTTTGCCGTCTCCATGAGTTTTACTTGGAAGAGTTGAGGAAGCCGTTGCTGCCGTGGGACTACGCAGATGACAAGTGACTGTAGAAGAAAGTTGCGGTGGTTTTGTTTAAGAATAATATTATGGCTGTATGTTTTTTTTTTTTTTACACTTTATGATTTGAGTTTCAGATATGGTGTTGTGGTATTTTACGATCTATTTTCTTCGTAGATATTATATTAGGTCATTTTTACTTGTTTTTTTCGACAACACATCTAATCTGAACATCTTTCATATCAAGTTGAACATCTTTTGCAACGAGATGAACATTTACTAGATAACGTTGAATACATACATTAACAAAGCTGAACATTGATCACTCGATTGTCTTTTCAGCGAAATAATTAGTCATATCCCTTAGGATATCAGCTGATTTCTTGTTTACTGGAGACTGGATCAATTGGCTAAGTACTTCACCCGCGGAGTGTCCAACATTTTCTTAATGATGGCCTTTCTTCTCTGAAATGGACAATAATAATCAACATCAGTATGAGTTGTAATATGCAACTTGTTTGAACATTAAAAAAATTAGGATGGAAAATATTACCGAATCACCGCGTATCATGGGAATTTCGCAATCATGGCCATCTTTAGGCACGCTAACATATTCCGACATGTGATGCATTGCATATCTTCTGCAGTCCGCTATGTTTGTTGAATCTGCGCAGTGCATTCTCACCAGTTTCAGGTCGAGGTTTTTGAACATGTACTTCAATGGTTTATCGGTCGTTTTTCTGTACTCTTGGAGGACATCTCTGTTGTTTGAGGACAGAATGAATAAGTATTTTTGTTAAAGACTTAAAAAATTATATAGAATGTAAATTAAAACAGTCATATCATACCAAGAAATCTCTAGTTGCGCCATACTTGTTATTCAGTGGCACTTTTTCACTACGCACTGTATTCAAGTTATCTAGAATGCCTAGTCTTTTATTCTGAAAGTCCAAACAATAGAGGTAGTAATGGGTCTCATAGTATACTGGGACAATAAGCTGAAAAAATGGAACAGACCAATGTAAGTATAAAGTTGAAGAATAGGATAAAAAAAATAAGATGATTATGTTATATAATAAGATGAATATGTTGTATAATAAGATGAACATGTCACATAATATGATGAACATGTT